TTTCTTATCCAATCTGCAACTCTCCATCTCCGGAGTGATGCATTTAATCCATTAACATTCAATGTAATTATTGACAAGTATGAATTGGTTGCTGTCATTTTGTTATGTGTTTTTTCATGGTGTCCCTGGTTTCTTTGTTCAATATTATTTTCTGTGCTGAGCTCAATATGTTTATGAATCATGTTATCATTTCCTTTGTTGCTATTGTTTTAGTATTTGCTGAATATTTGTGCTTGTCCTCTTTTTTATTTTGATATGAAGGTTTATCATTATTCTTTGAGGTTATCCTATGATTTATATTTTTTTCCCAGAGTTTGGAATAGTCCATTCTATCTTGCCACTCTCTTGACTTCCTCACCATTTAGAAGTTCTGTAACTACACAGTATTTTCCCTCTTTTTGGTTAGTAGTTGTCTTCATTTGCCAATTGAAGTCTCTGGTTCCCCGTTTACAATCTTGTAAGCTTATTTTACTTTGGATATGTCCACAGCTGTGGTTTCTGGGTTATGTAATTTTGTGTATTAATAGTCAGTTGTTTGCTGTTTTTGGCTCTCTGTTCAAAGGACTCTTGTAAAGTATCTCTTGTAAAGCTGGTCTGGTTTTAACAAATTCCGTTAGTTTCTGCTTATCTGGAAATCTCCTAATTTCACCATCATATTTGAGGGACAATTTCGCTGGGTACATAATTCTTGGTTGGAAATTTTTCTCTTTCAGAGTTTTATATATACTATCCCATTGCCTTCTCACTTGCATGGTTTCTGCTGAGAAATCAGAGCTTATTCTTACTGGTTGTCCTTTGTAAGTAACTTTTTGCTTTTCCCGTGCTGCTCTCATAATTCTTTCTTTGTCTTTGGTTTTGATGAGTATGATGATGATGATATATCTTGGTGATTTTCTTTTAGGATCTATTCTGTTTGGGGTTTGTTGGACTTCCTGAATGGATATATTCTCATCTTTCATCATATTAGGGAAGTTCTCTTCCAATAAATCTTGGACAATTTTCTCAGTGGTTTTATTTTTCTCTTCCTGTTGTGGAATTCCAATGAAATCCTCAGGGATGTGTTCTCAGTCTGTATCCTGCTTCCTTGTTTCAACCACTTTATCTTGCTTCTTTGTGTGGATTGTGATGATCTGCTGTCTCTGAGACATTGTGATGTGTTGTATTTAGATCTCTGCTAACTGTTTGTGAAGAGCAGCTAAGGGTGAGTCATGCTCCTCTTGGTGGTTGTTTATCGTAAGCCCTTTGCTGGAGAAGGAGGTGGTGACTCTCATGCAGTAAGTGAAGCTGCAGGAGGTGTGGGTGTAGTTGTGTCATATGGGGACTGTTGCTGTCTCCCACTCAGTTAGACAAAAATAACAATTGAATAACCATCAAAAAAGTAAAAGCAAATGGACAAAATACATACTGCATAATCACACAGGAACAGTAACCAAAAAAGAGAAAAGGGAAAAAAACAAAACAAAAAACACTGCA